TCAAGCTAGTGGCTACTTCGTTGTCGACGCAGCTTCGAATAAGAAGTAAAGTGATTAGAAATGGTTTCTATCCACAGTGGTCGCTTGAAGGTACTTCTTCTGGTTCTTCGAAGCTCGTCATTCTCCTAAGACTGCGCCGACAACATTCTGGCTTAGTGGTGGTCCCGGAGCTAGTTCAATGCTTGCGGTGAGCAACAAGCTCCTCGTGTTGGTCATTATACTGCTTCTTAGTTACTAGCTGAGAATGGTCCGTGTACTGTGAATTCTAACGGAACTGATACTGTGTACAACCCCTATAGTTGGACCGAGGCTAGCAATATGGTTTGGGTGGATCAGCCTGCAGGTCAGCACTTGTTGTTGAGAATCCTCAATTGTATTTAGAATGCCTTAGGTACGGGTTTCTCTATTGGTGGATCTTATGACGCTGATGAGAAGGAAGTTGGCGAGGACATGTATCACTTCATGCAAACCTTCTTCAAGCACTTTCCTGACTACAACAAAGATGTCCACGTTGTCGGGGAGTCTTATGGCGGCCATTATGTGCCTGCTGTTGTTAACACTGTTGTGGAACATAATACCAAGCTCGCTATCGGCGAGGGTGAGACTCTGGAACTTCGCTCCTACTTATATCGTGGTCTCGTTTCAGCACCAAATGGACGGATACCGATTGACATGAAGGGGATGGCCATTGGCAACGGCATGACTAACACCATTGAGCAAATTAAATGGTTGCCGAAGATGGTCAGCTTTCGTTCTGTGGATGCCGTGAGAATTGGCTCTCTGTTGTAGGCCTATGACTCTGGTACAGCTCCCTCTGTTATTGACTTTGACACCTATCAGAGGATGCAGTCCAAGGTCGATGGTATCGTTCATGACATCGCTAAATGTGACAGAGCTGGCGATAAAGGCGTACGTAACGATCAATCGAGGCATGGTGTTATTCGACAGAGTCTTTGGCAGGTGTGCGAAGCCGCTTGGAACAACTTCACTACTGAGCTGATGGCCCCAGTGATAGCGGCGGGATATAATATGTAAGCCACTCGTAGCTGTTGGTTTTGTTGCTGGTTGTGTATATAGGTATGATCTGCGTCTTAAGGGTCGCTATGATTGGACTAATATCAACACATGGTTGAATAACCCGAAAATAAGGCGTGAACTTGGAGCTCTGAAGGATGGGAGGCGGTCAGTATTGAAGTAGTGGTCACTTGTCGACTCCCTCCAGTGAAGAGTGATCAGGTTTACAAGACGCTTACTCCCAACGATTTCCTACAGACCTATGATGACCTAGTTCCGCCTCTTCTGGCATGGGACTTAAAGTACTTATCTATGCTGGTGACCAGACTATCCTTGTAACTGGCTCGGCAATAAAGCATGG